GATAGATAGAGATAGATAGATTATAGATAGAGATAGATAGAGATAGATAGATAGATAGATAGATAGAGATAGATAGATTATAGATAGATAGATAGGACTTTTCTCATAAGTATAACAATTTACCTTTATTATAAGCATAATAACTTTGCTCACTTGCATGCAAAGGTGGTAAACAAAATCTTAAAGCACACATTGTTCAAATTCCAGGTTGTCGTGACTATTAGTGAAGGAGACAGTTTTCCCTTGAGCAAGTGTTGTTGATAACGATAAACAAAGAACAACCAAATAAGTCATTATTTCAAGGCTTTCGTAGAATTCGTTCTATCTACATGAATGGTAGATAAGGAAGAGTTGTGGACACCAACAGGAACATCCTTCTCCTCCTCAAGGACTTGGGAAAGAAGAGTTGTAATTACTAACAAGAACATCTTTATCTTCCTCAAGGACCTGGGAAACTTCTAAGTCAACAATATTGTCTTAAGGTGACTTATGACTTATTGCACTAAAGGACAACGTGGGAAGGAATGTTCACTGCCAAAAGATCTCTAGAGACCCTTCACAACCACCCCAGCTACACCACACACACGTGCCATCGGTATGTGAACGTGATAATGAGTTACAGGAAATCGCTTGAATATGAACAGTGATTCCAGGCAATGTAATGCATATGTGTGTGGTCTGGTAATCCAACCAGGAGCTGCCTTGCAGTTGGCATGCGTGCTTTGAGGTGCCAACCTCCATGTGGTGAGTAAAGAACCCTTGCTTGCTACAATTCCAAAACAAGTTTGAGAGAATTTTTGTATTTGCTGACATAGGGTAACAGGGACAGAGCTGAGGGTGGCAGTGACTGGAGCCGCATGTGCCAGGCATGTGGAGCTGGGAACAATCCTACCTCCTGCTCCACACCCTGCACCAAAACCTTCTTCGTGGGAGCAGGTGTGGAATGGTGAGCACAATATATAGGGCCTGGCTGAAATGGACACTTCTTCCATGGGTCACTGGTCTACAGCAATGTCACGTGGCTCTTTTTACTTTCCTGATGTTTCATGTCTTTGGCCTGAGCTTCCAGACCTGTGTGATTTTACTGGTTGTCCCAGTGAGTGCCTTAAAAAAAAGTAAACACTCCATCTTATGGAGTGACAGGACAAGAGGAAATGGCCTTAAGTTGCACCAAGGGCAGTTGAGATGGGATGTGAGGAAGAATTTCTTTGCTGAAAGGGTTCTGAGGCATTGGATGGGGTTGCCCAGGGCAGTGGTGGAGTCCCCATCCCTGGAGGGATTGAAGAGTCGTGTAGACACAGTGCTGAGGGACATGGGTTAGTCACAGGGGACCTGGTCAGTGTTGGGTTAATGGTTGGACTCGATGATCTTAAAGGTCTTTTCCAATCGAGGCAGTTCTGGGGTTCTGTGAGGGGAATGACTCACTCCATGGACTCCAGAGTAAAAAAAGGCAGAAAAGGAAGCCAAATGGTTTGGGAAATCTCATTAATTTAGGTTGTTTTTGTTACCTTGGCACATCCAGTCTCCTTCTGAGATGATGGAAGCGGTTCACCCTGCAATTTGACCACCCTCATCTTGGGATGCATCTCCGTCCATGAAATGTTTCTCAGCCCTGCTCTTTGCCAGTGGCTGGCATGTCCTGGCTTGCCCTGGCCACCAGCTGCCCTTGTGCCCACTGCTGTGGCCACCTCGAGTGGGTGGGGGTCAAGCTGGCTTACTGTGCAAATAAAGGGGATGAGAGGCTGCCCAGCTGGATGGGTGCAGGTCTTCCCTTCTGCCCTCAGATGTAAGCCAGTGCCACCCACCACCGCCCAGGGACTTGCCCTGCATGCTCAGCTTGCGAGCTCTGCTCAAAATGCCTCAGGGCTTCCCTCATCTCCAGAAAACCTCCAAGTACCCCCTGGTGACAGGGTTTGGCCACACCTGTGCCATTCACTGCTGTCTTCACCTGCCAGCAGGAAGGAGGGAGGGAAGAAGGAAGAGGAGGAAGAAGGGGAG